AGGACACCAGGTTGCCGTAAATTTCAGCGAGTTGTGAGCCCCAAGGGTTCTGCAGAAAAACTCAAAACACCGAATAAACATTTCCCCCTACATACATATATACATATATATATATACACATACATACTACATACTACTTCCGCTTACAGCAGTTGTTATTGTGGTCATCATGGGGTGATGGTCAGTCAGGAAGAAGCAATTGATAGGGCAACGTCTCCAATAAGCCGGAAGTTGGGCCAGCAGGGCGGCAGACCACCTCCTCCAAACCCTGGTCGGTCATCTGACCAAGTGCGTTTTGCAAAGGTCCATTGCGAGACTGCGTCTTGTAGATGAGCCAGAGCCTCGGCGCCTTGCAGCACTCCCTGCTGAGCCACAAGCTCGCGCGTCACCATTCCCAGTCACTTTTCACTCAGCCAGCCGCATCCCAGATGAGTCAAAGTTGCCATATCGGGATGTTGGAACCCATTGCGCGTCGTGCGGCGAGGTTTTGTCTATTTAGGCGAGACTCCTTTGGGAACTTTGCGTCCGTGGCCCCGTGCAGAGCGGCATTGGATCATGTCCTCAACCAGCAGCCTCTTTTGCTTAGTTGGTAGAGCGCCCGCTCAGTAATTGGGGAATGGGAGGCATGTGTAGGTGTGTGTATATACGGACCGTTGCTGGTGAGCTGAATGACTAGAGTCGATGAGGCTTGGCGTCGTTTTGCAGCAGGTTGTTTGCGATGTGCAGTGTGGCAAAATCATTAGTGTGTCGTTGTGACATGCGGCTTGGCGAGGTTTGTGTGGAAAGTGTGCGTGCGTGGCTGCGTGCCATTCAACAAATTGGAAAGCATGGGTGTCCAGATGTGGCGTGCCATGGCATGCCGCCTGTGAGCGGGAAGGTTGCGGTGTCAATGGGGTTTGCTGTTGCTTCGTTGCATCTAGTGTGCAGCGCGCGGTGTGGCGACATTGCATTTTGTTTGTGGTGCTGCTGTGGTTGGGGTTTGGCGAGGCCTCTGTGAAAAGTCTGCGTGTAATGAATGGCTGAGCCACAGATTTGTTTATTTTTGGATTGCGCGCTCATGGTTTTACTTTCAGTGACAGAGGCGCAGGGCATAGCCACGGTCGGGGACCTCCTGACGATTTTGGTAGCGCTTTGGGATGCCGTAGTTCATGCAGGTGATCCTGGTAATGATCTTCGACTTCTTGCGGCCATGCCGGCCTGGACAATCCCACAAATCGCCAAGCGGAAACGCTGGGCGGCAGAGAAGGAGGAGCTGCTCACATTCAGAGAGCAAAAGATCCAGGCTTGATACCGGCAAGGGTGCAAGGATCAAGCAGGACAAGAGATCTGCTACAGCTGGGCAAAAGGAGTGGGACCTTGTGCAGGTTTAGCCTCGGGCTCAGAGTGCAAAGGGGAAGTGAAGAGGGGTCACAAGTGCATGTTGTGCTTCTCAGCTGCTCACCCGAATGCAGAGAGGGCTGCGTCCCCCTCGTGATCCTGAAGGGAGCCGTGGGAGAAAGGGTGCTGCTCACCTCTTGTGGACTCGCGAGAGGAGGGCAGATACGGGGGAAGGAGGGTCGAATGATCAGGGGGGGGATGTTTGGCTTGGAATCCCACGCACCCGCGTTGGTTTCCCTCGATTCGACGTCGATCGTTTCGGATAAACTCGGTCGTGGACTCGTTCGATGAGATGAGATGGAGGCAAGGTGCAACTGCGTGCGGGGATGGGCTCGAGAGAGGTCGAGTCAAGCGACGCACGGGCGGTCATGGCGAGCGCATCGTCGGGAAGGGCGGTGGAGGAACCAATCCTGACGCCTGAGCGGGTTGCGGAGGCGCTGGAAAGTGCGAGGGGCTTCGCAAGTATCAGGAGCTGCGAAAGTTCAGGTTCTTGCGCAGTGACATGTTCAGTGGGGCAGAGGACGTGTTGGGAAAATGTTTGAAGTTTGAAGGAGATGGCGGATAAGGAAGGCATACAGCTCGAGGTGTACAGCCTATAGACAAATTGGGTGAGGGTCATGTTGATCTGGCCAAGGAACACCCGTTCAAGGAGCTGAAGGAGGAAGCCAAGATGCACGCGTTTGACGCAGGGCCCGCAGGCTTCCCATGCAACACGTTCAGCAGGGCCATGTGGAATATGGAACGTCATGGACCTCCCCCAGTGCGATCACTACAGCGCATTTATGGGTTGCCAACACGCCTGAGGAGCGGTCGGTGGAGATCATGGGCCTCATCCTCAAGAGTCAGTGAGCGAGGCGGGTGCCGCCGGCAGAGGCCTTCATGGAGGCCTTTGACGCTCAGGTGGCGAACTGCAACACGTGCAGCTTCCAGCAGAACGAGAGGGTGAGATGGTATAAGCCCGGGAAGCTTGCGGGGAGGTTACTGGACCTGGAGAAGTTATGGAATTTTCCTTGCAATCAGGGTTCCATTAGCATCTGGGGTTCCATCAGATTTCCTTCAAATTATTGCAATCAGCTGTGACAGTGACAATGATGTGAGTTCACTGCCTGCCAGTGTGGGAGTTCACTGCCATAATATATTACCCTGAGATAATGGCAGCGACAATGACAACGATGTGGGAGCTCACTGCGCTGGCTTGCACAGCGGCCATACTGTCTAGAGAGTCTAGAGGCTCAAGCCGGCGTAGGCTTTATGTTGCCCAAAACAATACTTAATACACCCCCGTGCGTCCATGCCAAATGTGCCGTCCACATCACATGTTTGATGTCAATATTTTGTATGTATGCCGTGCATACAAAATACGTCAATGTGTGTGTCTGTCTATCAGGCTTTTACCTTTAACAAACTGTTTGCGCTTGCTTTCCGGTGTCGGAACCACGGGCCCTAGTTTTTGGCAGGCCTGCTACTACAGCTACCCTTTTTTGTAACACACGCAATTATTAATGGCCCCCGGACCCTTTTCCTCTATCTTACGCGGAAATGATCTTAAGCACAGACCTGTCGATTCGACCTGTTGTACAAAAAGAGGCCGCTGTTGGTTGGCCATCATGCCATGAAAACGTTTTCGCGCGTTTGTTTTCGCCGTTTATGTCCTTGGTTCCTTCACCAAATCTTCAACATAATGAAACAAACCAGGCTGGCGTCACATGGCATGGCCATTAAACTAGGTAGAAACTCAGCAACTGCACCCAATGCACTCAACGAAGAGGTTTTTGGGCCGCTGGCAGAAGTCGGCAGGGTTCAAGTTTCAAGGTGAACCGGTGCACTAGCTCACATCCTCGATTTCATCGTCACGAGCTGGGGCTTCTTCTTCGCCGCCCTCATTCTCATCATTCCCATCTTCACAGAGGTGCTCGCAACTCACACCAGGCTCTACAGCGGGAATCGCAGGTTCCGCAACCTCTACGATCTCATTTGGATCAGCCGTCGGGTCAGGGAGTTCGGGTGCACTTGATGAACCTGGCACTGGGTGTGTGAGAAATTCAGCTATGACAATGGGACGCGTACATAAAAATAGAAGAATTAACTGTTCACTTTGCCTTGGGAGCCGGTATTGTAGAATGGCAACTCTGCAGCCAGGCTCGCCTGAAGATAATTGCAATGAACATCACATGAACCGTTAACAATAATTGCTGGGGGTCTGGCAACCACTTGCTGAACACGTTCAATTGAATCGCCGGCGGGCAAATGAGAACGGCCAATTTCCTGCAAACTGAAAATCGTCATATATATTCAACACCGGTTTTCAGAATGTGAGGCCCCCGCCGCGATTTCTTGTGACTTCGCTGCCTCCTTATACTTGCCCCCCACCTCAAAATGTTCAAAGTCGAACATAGGATGGGCAAAGGTTGCACCGGGGCGCAAACAGTAAAGGCTTCAGAACCGTTGACTTTCACTCCATAGATGTTGGTCCGTTTGTAAAAATAGATTTTGCCGACGGTCCTCTCACCTGGCAGCAAAAGGTTGGGGCGTGGTTTCTTCAAACACGTCAAAGGACTGATGTATGAGTTGAAACCTGGGCAGCTGAATTGTCCTTGGATTTTTGTTTGCGTTAAAGCTGTTCTGTCCAAAACTAACACAGACCGCGTTTTACAGGCCTTGGTCAGCAGCAGCGCACCTCTTTTTGCCTTGCGCCTTTGCTTTCCCCTTGGGCTTCGGATCACCCTCTTCCGCCCCACCTTCAGCGCCCAAGACACCTTCCGCCTTTGATTTCGCTTTCGGTTTCGGTTTCGCCCCCCCCCCTTCGCTTTTGCTTTGGCTTTGCTTTTTCCTTTCGGTTTCGCGGCAGCTTTCCCTTTCCCTTTTGGTTTCGCCTTACCCTTTGCTTTCGGTTCTTCCCCGGTTGGCATTTCTTCTGCCTGAGGTGTTTCGTCTGCGGTCTCAGAAACACCCTCCGGAGCAGAAGGGCCAGGCGTTGGCTTGGGTGCTGGCTTGGGCTTGGGGTTCCTCAAAGCTGATGGTCTCTTCATTGGTTGTGGTTCTCGCGGAGCGTCCTTGCGGAGAGCCGAACAAAGGTATATAATGCGTTTGAAAAAACTGGCACATTGATATCAGCGTGACATGGAATGTCACAGGTATAGGTGTCGAAAAAGGAACAGACTCGTGAAACTGATTTGGATGGTTACACCCGGTTGTTTTCTCAGCGAAAAGTGGACTTACCGTCCTTCCGTCCCTCCTCAGCCGCTGGTTCCTCATCACTCAACTTGTCCACCGGCGGCAAAAGTCCCATCCTTTGCTACCCTGTATTACCCTACCCTGCTGCAACACAGCTATCTACTAATCGAGCCGTTAACCTAAATAGAACGGTGGGAATAATTACAAGTTCCGTTGCACACTGAGCTGGCGCATTCTGTTGTCAAACAGCAAAAACTTAACTGTGCGTTTTCCAACAATGCCCTCATGCTACGAACTGCCAGCTGGACAAGACAATTGAAACGTTGTCATGCCCACCTGTTGCGCATCTAAATGCAGCGTCGCCAGAAAACAGAACACATTGCGTTCAGTTTCAAAAAAATGTCTTCAAGCGCAGAGCTTAACAACTGCTTTGGAAAGAGAATGCCTATCAATGGCGCCGCTCACAAAAAGCATTCTGCGATGCGAGATCAAGCAGCCTGTCTACATCTTGGGTCACGTTATTTTGACCCACGTTGCTGGAGAAATTCGGAGTTTACATGTCACACAGAACTTGGGCTTGGTGGCAACAATCTTGGCATTTCCCGTTCCGGTTTGCACATCAACCTAAGCTTTGGTGATTGAAACCGTCACAAAAAATACTGCAACCCTGTCCAAAATGGAACAACCAAGAAACTTCCCACACGATCCCACAGACATCACTGCGCGGCAGTTTGTTCATCGCCCCAACAAAGGCAGCCCCAATGCTCGAATGCCTGCCAAATTTCAACTTGAATGGACCCGTGGATCTGAGAACAAAGTCCTATTCCGCAACTCTCCATTCTTCTGAAACTTTTCTTCCGCAACTATTTGGTACTCTTCCGCAACTACTCTTCAGAAACTATTTGGGATCTTCAGGAACTATTTTGCGATCTTCAGAAACTATTTCGCGATCTTCAGAAACTATTCCGCGATCTTCAGAGACTATTTCGCTATCTTCAGAAAAAGCTAACTTTAGAAAGTATTCCTCAGAACTTTTACAATGTCGCAACCAATTTGCATGAAGGAGCACTGGGTGGGTGGGGGGTAGGTGGGTGGGATATTGACGTACCTTGTGACGTCTACGGTATATACACATGCTTGTTTTGCGATCTGCAGAAAGATTTCCGCGCAAGTTTGATGTTGCTCTTCGACTGTTTGTAGTTTCCGAACATTAATTTCTGAAGAACACCGTAGAGTTTCCGAAGATTGGTTTCCGAAGAATAGTTTCCGAAGAAAACCTGAACCTTAAAGTTACCGAAGATTAGTTTCCATTTATCAGTTTCCGAAGAACACCATAAAGTTTCCGAAGAAAACCGCATAGTTTCCGAAGATTAGTTTCCAAAGAAATTGTAAAGTTTCCGATGATTAGTTTCCGAAGAAAACCGTAAAGTTTCCGAAGATCACCTTTTAGTTTCCGAATAAAACTTGGACCGTGGATCTGAATACAAACGTGAAACCTAAGTATCATCAGGGCAGTAAGTCTTAGCAACAAACAATTCATGGCCTCACAGTATCAGAATCTTTGAGCTCTGCTGGGCGAAACGAATTGCACTTGCCGCTCGGCGCTGGTGAAAGTGTGTATCGGTAAGGGACTGGGACAGGATCACCTCCATCCGCGGCCTCTAGGGCTTAAAACAAGGCACGGAACAGCATCAGAGCCACTCATAGCTTTTCGACTTTAGGATTTCCCGACAAGGCACTGGAGGGTGTTGTTTCTGGGTAATGGTGTGGTCCAGCAAATCGAACGCAGCGACTCCGTGCGTGGTGCAAATGAAATGCACAAAGTCAGCTAGGCTCATGAGGTTCTTGTTGTGCATCACAAGCTGCAAGTCTGAACTCAAGCGCCACGGCATCAAGGTCAGCTCTGCGTTTGGGTCGCCTTCCACGAAGGATTTCTTGGCGCGAGCAACCCTTTTGAAACCATGTTTTCACGGTTATAAACCCTTGTATATGTTTGGAAACGCGACATGGGGAGCACTCAAAATTTTGTAAGATTGTCACGGGCCGTTCCGGGCCTGTGATCAGCTTGTCCTCGAAAACACCACGGTTGAAACCAAAGACCTCCCCTTCGACGATGAGTTCCTCTGCAGTTGAATTCCCTAGATATACTTCATGCGACTTCGTGATAAACACTGCAGGCTTGCCCTTCACGCCGTCACAGGAAGCCAGCCTACAGAATGCAAAGCACAAAAATGAAAAGATACACCAAATTAACACCCCACTCAGAAAGAATAAAGATGTATAAAAATGGACCCTAGCGCTGCCCAAGAAACTTGGGAAAGTTGAATGAATCAGCAGGCAAAGCATCCAGCCGCACCTGTCTGCAAATGTCCACCGGCTTTTTCCCCCCTTCGATGGAGAAATCCGGCCGCCCAGCTGCGCGCACCGTGGTAGACGTGGTGCCACCTGCTGCTGAGCCCTCGCCAGCAAAGTTCTGTGGGAAAGTTGCCTGGACTTTCTCCTTCAAAGCGAGCATAGCAGCATGATGCGTGGTCCCTGTGGCAAACTTGTTCAGCAAAGAAGAAGGAAAACCACAACTCTGGCCACTCCACGTCAAAAGGTTCAAAATCGGATCGGGCTTCGCTTCCTGCGGCCTTTGCTTCGGAGGGCTATCAGCCAGCCCATCCCAATGAGAATAGACCATGTTCTCAACATCTGCGACGGTTTCCTTGTGGTCCCTGAGAACCCCGAAGTACACCAATCGAGGCGCCGCTGAAGATTCGTGCAGTACTTTCTGGGTGATAGCACGGCATAGCTCTGCATGCCTTAGAAGAACTAACCAGAAGCAATGCTGCAAACACAGGACATGGTTTCTGGGGTCGGCAAAAGACTTCCCGACTCGATAAAGGTGAGCCACTTGTTCGGAAGCACATCGAACACAAGGACCAGATCCTCCTGGCGGAAATCCATCCCCATGAACATCTCCTTCAACACCTGCTTGAAGGCGGGAACGCCTTTCCTCAGAAGTAACCAACTGGCAGGAAATTGCAACACGCTTCACAAAGACCACATGAGACTAACTACCGACCGGAGGCAAACTTGCTGCGAAATTAAATCTTTGGGCGGTTGAAGAGATTTAACTAGCGACAAAAAACCTTACTCACTGAGCACTCGGCTAAGTCGCTGCTCCACTCGCGCAGCAGCACCCGGGCGATTGTCACTGTCGTACCCGGCCATGTCAGCGATTTTGATGAGGGGAATCGGCCCCAATGTTCCCGATTTGAAGACTTTGCAAGCGGTCCATGGGTTGTCATCTTGATTTGATGCCGTAGTGACAAGCATCGCCGTTTGATAAGCCTTTCTCTTATCGTTGGCCATGCTGGATTGTTTGTCATAGCTGACGGTGATCTGCTGGGTCACGTCCAGGCCCGACTTCATGAAGAAATCCGTCATAGCTCTTGTGTGTTTCACAAGGGCTGCGGGAGTTGTTTGAGCGTGAAGAACTGGAAGGAGGACCAGCCCCATCGACAAGGTTGTCATAGAAACAGACTGGGAAAACACTTCAAGGCACTTGGACATGAACAAGGCATTGCTGGGCCACACGGTTGCGTCGAAGGTCACCAAAGTAAACCTCAATACATGCATGAGGCAGAAGTTGTCCCGGTTCGACAACTCCAGGCAGTTTGATCAAAGAAACAATCAAAGAAACAATTAAAACGCAACAGTGAATGAATGGCTTCCAACAAGGAGCGTCCGACCACCAGAGCGTACAACTGCCCCGCACCGATTGGTAAACCGCGCAAACTCGGCCACACAGTTCGGGAGTGTATCCTCAGACACCTTGAACATTTTGCAATTCGCCTCCAGCCAATCCTTCGTGTACGCCTGCCCTTTCCTGATATGACATGATGTATGCCCAAAACACAAACCAAAACATTGCACATCCGGTCGGCTATCAAACTTTCTATTTATATATATAAATATAAATATGGCTGGAAATAAATCGCTTCCTGTTTGTATTTCCGGACTCTGCTAGCACAAAGTGAAGTAGATGAGAACTAATTGCACTATGAGCTTCAATTGGCGCTCTTTGAGATAGCGTTGATCTTTAGCTGCCTCGACTGCTTCGACTTCTTTGGTGGGGATCCGCTGCTTAAGAGCATCGATGTCCGTGTTCACTTTCAATGTGATCTGTTCCACAGTCGCATTGTGGAGCTTCTCTGAGAGTTCCTTTTCCTGCTGCTCAAGGTCGTTCTGCACACGCTGGTCAACTGCGGCCACAATAACCCTAGTGAAGGACAAGTCGCTCAGGCTTGGAGGTGGCACAGCTGTGGACAGCATGTTCTCAAGCTCAGGATCTAGGTAACCCGTTCTGAATTGCCCGTAGAGCTTGTCCTCTGCATCCTTGAAGTCAGCCGCCGGCACCTTCCGCTGGAGCTCTTTGACAACAGCCAAGAACCCGCCACATAGAGCATGAATGGCCGAAGCATCACGGAAAGACCATTGTTTACGCATTTGCGGCATCAACTTGTCCCAATCATCTCGCAGCCGGCCAAGGACAAGCTTGACCTTAAACTCCAAAAATATCGGGTCGTCGGGGGTTCCATTCTGGGATCCGAAAAGAACACCAAATTTTACCAAGATCAGAACCTGTAAGATTAAGCAAAGCCAGAATTCCAACGCATCATCAGTGGAATTCGTCAAAGCATCTCGCCAGCTTTCATACGTGCCTGTACCTGAAGACCATCCCTGGTTGAACATGTCTTTCCCAATGACATCGTGCCCCATCCAAGCACGCATCCCGCGAAGTCGCACACTCTCACGCAATTCCGCGAGGAACGACGGAGATACACGGTGCTGCAAATTTGAGACGGCTTTCGCTTCCTTCTCTCCAATCTGGAATGCTCTCTGGATTTTGGTCGCGTCGTCCCAATCCTCAGCAACATGTCCCTACAAAATGAAACCGGGTCTCTCTTCGCTACTGCCCCCAAAATATTGAAAGCGAAAGATCAGTTGAGGCCAAGAACATCAACAAAAGAACAGTTGGGCTACCAAATGTTTTAATAGGTGCCCCGCGACAGTGAAGGAAGCAGCAGCATCACCATGCGCACGGCCAAGGACTTCGAGCTGTCGCAGAAAGTTAAAGCAATTTGGTGCTTTTCTTGTGGAAGTGGAACCCATAGTGATGCCTGCTTTGGGCTGGAAGGGCTTTTGTTAAAACACTTACGTCAAAGGGCCACGCTTGGTGAATCATAATGCTGCGAACACCTTGCCTCGATTGGCCCACACAATGTCCCGCACATTGGCAAAATCTGCAACGGTGCCATGCACCGCTCTGATCGAAGACTGCAGTCAGCCAGGCTTCAAAAAAGGATCACATTGTATAGACTGGTGTAAAATTAACTACCGGCCTTGAAGGCGCCATCCAAATCGTCCAGCGAGATCTCCAACTCCTTGATGCCTGCCAGCCCGATCAAGCAGCAAACGCTGCGTCTCCATCCTTTCACGTATCCAATGCTGAAGGGCGAGATGGCATCAGGACCTAAGCTTTGTCTTTGGCCATGCAAAGTCTGGCAGATTCCAAGCTACACACGCCCCTCGCACCAAAAGCCGCAAGGAGATGGCCTGGGAAACGGAGGTCAAAACACAAACATTAACATTCGACCAAGAATGCTCATGGCATGAAGGAACGTAGTGGGGTTGCATGGCGGAAGGGGGCATTTAATTTGAGTCTGCACTTTTTTACGCGACCATCCACCAATTGCCAATGTCACAAAGACCTGTAGTCACAAAAGACTGCTAGGTCACCAAGACTGCTACGTAGACTTTAGAATCAAAACCTGTAGTCGCTGGCTGTCAATTGTAAATGCATGTTTTCTTCCTTGGCAGGCTCAGAGGTTTCTTCTCATCGCCCTGGGCCCCATCACAACGAGCGTGAGCATCTTGATTGGGAACAGCTGCAACCACACCAGACTCACAATTGTTGCCCTTTGTGTCTTCCTTGTGGAGCTTTGGTGTGTTTTCCTTCGCAGCCACATCTCGTGACTCTGTGACCTGTGAGCCCTCCAAAACAGGTGACTCATCTTCTGCTCCACCGCCCAAAATCAGTGTTGAGTCTGAGTCACAATCGGGTGGCAGTTGACTGTCAATTTCCTCTTCCGCCTCAGCCTTCCGCTTGGCCATGATGAGTTACTGTAGAACGGGTCTACAACTGTGGGTTTCAGCGTGAAAAGGGCCCCGATATTGCGCAAAAATTGGCTGCAGAATCAATGATCAGCCCACATCCAAATCCCCAACACCAAACCCTGCCTGGCTCCCAACCCTGACCACTACTGCGCGACTGGACTCTGGGCGGCGGGCGTTGGCATGAGGCTGGCACAGAGATAATGGCCTCATGAACGGAAAACACACACACACCATCTTTTGGTTTGGTCGACCGATTGAAGATGGTTGGATAACAAAGATTCCATTGTGCACTTGAGGGTCTGGCGTGAAGATGTAGCACGTCCACCAAAATGATCGGTGTGATGCTCCATGATCCGCTCTCTGTAATTGGCTTAACGGCTTTCAAACTAAAGCCATTTCATTGATAACTATTGAGTGTAGACTAACAACTCAGGACAGAACTGTCTGAGTCCAATGGAGGGAGGTCGGACGCGGGGGCCTCGAGGAAGGCTGAATCTGGCTTCATCATGGCAATCTTCTCAACTCCTGGAATATTGCTGTCGGTCCGGAACCTGAGAAATTCGATTGAAGAATTGAGTTCACTATTTCCAATTTGACACCGTAAAAAAACACAAACCTCAGTGCAACACAAGCACCCCTCCGTGAGGATTAACTGCAATAGCACCTCTCCATCATCCGGTTCCATGTACCCAGGCAAGCCGTAATCTGTCCTGAAAGACAATTGCCAAGCGCGAACAATTTTTGCCCCTGGCTCCAAGCTTGTAGAGTACACCTGTGAACTGCTCGGTGGGAAATGATGATCTATCCACCGGGCAAAACCCAGAAGATCATCCTGGCATCACAGGTAAAATTGCACCAACTACCACCACAAAATACATCACTGCAGCAATTCAAAGCAATGTGAGGAGCGGCCTTCTTCTGATACCGCTTCATCAGGAACTTGTCTGCGCCTCCTTCTGGCACCACGACATGTCTATACCTCACAGCCAGAAAGTCATTGGTGGTTCAAGTGACGTTAACACTGACTTGGTCGCGCCAGTCAGTGATCTTCGCCACATACTCTGGAATGGCGGGCGGCCGCTTCAAGGCTTTGGTTGCAGCAGCCGCGCCCCCGGCCGATTTTCTTTTTGCGGGCATTACGAAAGCCTTCCGCTCAGATTTGAACCCCTGATAATCACAACAAAAAGCTAGAGGCGTCTTCACGGCAATCAACGTTGGACATGAAGCTGGCGTTGACTTGAACACCAAAGATTGAGCACACTCTTTTTGACGGCAGCCAGACTAGCCTTCAAAAGCTTCCTGTTTAACTGCACACAGTCACACAGAGATTGCGTCTCTACAATCCACCCTGAAAGGATTGTTTGAACTAGCGGCTAAACTGCTGACGTTTCCGGCCTGATCAAAATGAGACTCACGGGTCGCAAGAAGCACTTGGGAGAGAGCCTGCGATACTATTGAACAACAAGTCTGCGTCACCGCTCAGACGTGGAATGACATCGGCGAAAGAACCTCCAGATTGCGCTGGATGTGCGCCGGGGCTCAACACATGCCTCATACAAAGAAAACTATATATACACAGAAAATAATATATGGGGAAAATATGTATACTCATCTATTTATGGAAAAAAGAAGGCGGACAGTAGAAGTTTGTGTTTGCCAGGAAACTGCCCATGGGTTCCACCCCATCAGTCAACACGTCAAACTTAGCCGGGGGGATATAGGTAGCAGGGCATCCGATGTTCTTGGCTATAGCAGCGGCGGGCATAGGGGCATCAAGCATGCCCATCTCGCTGCAAGGAATGAGGGCGATAAGCTCGTTTTCCACGTACCAAGTCTGGGCACAAAATTCTGCACATCCAATATCAGCGCTCGACATTGCACTCGGGATTTTGTCTGGCCAGACTGCCGTGTTCCGAAAGAGGAACCTAGGCCGCAACGGCAAGTCACGCGGGTTGCGCAATGCAAAGAAAGGGCTTCACCAAAAAAACATCATCAACAAACTTGTTCATTTCCAAAGACCAGAAACACAAGCTTCTCTTTCTCAGACGTTGGTTGACCATCGTAGTTTCTCTTCAGCACTTTACGACCACAAAGAAATGCTATAGGCCCTGCGTAAAGAAGTTGACTCTCCCCAGTCGGAGTCTGAGAAGTCAGCGCTTGCTCACCTGCAAACAGTTGAGAATGATAAATGCACCACGGGTGCGTGGATAATGCGTGCACACAGTATCGGTCGTACGCACGTCGGTATAAATCACGTCACGTCATGTCACGTCATGTATGTATACATGTATATCATATCAATATACGCTTCTTGTTTCGAGCCTGCCAGCATATCATAGTATCGGATCGTCACGGTGTTCTTCTCCCCCAAGTAACCCTTGCGCACAAGCTCCTGGCCCAGTTTCCCAAAAATGAACCCTTCAAACGCACCAAAAAACGGCAACAACCGCCACTGGCCTCAAACGCTGAAGAATCTTCAATGCAAAATCGGTTCGTGTCGTTCTCTTGCGAGCCAGCATTACGCCCTCAGAAAGGAACATCAAGAGAAATTCTGGTTGATCTTTCTGCCAACAGCAAGGACCCATTAAATTTCTCAACCCAGCCTTGCCCTTCAGATGTTTTAGGCATTTGACTGCGACGTTCCGAACGCTTGGAGGAGCGTTTGCTGTCGCGGCCCTTTGGCATGACGGATCAACTCACACACAGGCTGCTAGCCCAAAGCAAAAGCCAAAATGCCTGGGGCCTAGCCAACAACAGGCCAGGAGGACATCAAGCTTTTGAACTGCCACATTCGTCAGCCGACAAAAAAAAAATGTTTTGACTGAACCCCATTCAGCCAGAAAGGAGGCAATGGCCCTAAGCTAGGTTGTTTTCAAGAGTCGAGGAGGCCACAATGCATGATGAGACCAAACTCGAAAGCACACTAATTTTCCAACCTCGGAACATGGTATACTATGGTTCATATTTACAGCGCAGCTGCTGACTGGAACTGGACCCGTTCAATCGTTGCTCCAACACTACTTGGCGCAGTGCTTCTGAACGCTCACAAATTCAAACATTTCTTCCACGGGCGGAATCCGACACTTCCCACCTGCAGGACCCGTTCAACACGCCACCAACCAGTGGATCGAGAAACGCAACAATCCGAAACGTGTATCGAGCCTGAACCTACCCCAAAAAAAAACTTGAGATGTTTCCCCAGCGGGAACGTTGACAAAAGCCACTTATTATCAACCAGACCATTGCCATGTCACCTGCCAACCAATAACCAAAAACAACTTCAGTTAGTATCCCAAAAACGACTCAAACTCCAACACTGTTTTCACCAACCACCAAAATACGATGCTTGGATTAGATCAAAACAAAATCCGACACTTTCGCGAAACAAAAATCCGACACTGTGACCAAACCCGGATCCGACACTTTGCCAAATCCAAATCCGACACTTTGGAGGGCACGCGCCAACCCCCCCCCAAAGTGTCGGATCCGAGGTCGGATTGGACACTTTGCCGGTGCTTGATTTCAAACCATTGCCGCGTGCCCCAAAACACAGTCAATGAAACCGTGCCAAGGCATGGGGCAAAGTGTCGGATCCGAGGTCGGATCCGACACTTTGAGCTACTTTTCACAAACTTGCAAGAAGTGTCGGATGCCCAGCGCTGACTCCAAAGCCTGTCACGCAAACTACGCTGCCGCTCCCAAATTTCTAGACCGGTCAAACGTTTAGGGTTTAGGGTTACGACGAAAAAGAGGAACCATTCAAGATTGAACGCGTGGCTTGATCATTTAGCAGACCTGGCCTGGTGTACCTGCTGCGCCTGGTGATGGGAGAACCCATGCCCAACCGGGAACGCCAGCCCCCTGGCCACAAGTATACCAGAATCAATCAAAACACGGAACTTCCATTAGATTGCTGCTTGGGTGAACATCAGCTTGACTAGCTACCTCCCCGTGCGAATAGCGCGCAGCGTTAAAATTGCCTCCATGCATTAATTAAGCGTTGCTGTGCTCAGGCTTGAAATCCGCAGCAAGGCAACCTGCCCAGCCAAAAAAACGTGGCTTCATGATTGATATTTAATTGGTGACAAGGGTGCGCAGGTTCTGAAACTCCTTGCAAACTGGAGACAAATAATAAGAGCCTGAACGTGAAACTGACAAAAGGGAGGGGCGTTGTAATGATCTTGTTTCATTGCACGGCGCTCTCAAATGAATGTTTGTCACTCCATGCCAAAGTCATCAACAAATCTAGCAGAGCTGCTTGTTGAGTTCTCTCCAATCTAGGTCGTTTTTTCCAGTGGCTCAAAGCGTGGAATCACACTCGCTGCGTGAGACCTCATCTCCTCCTAGGTCCCCGCTTTGGAAGCGCCTTTGGCTTGGGGGAAGCCTTTGCCAGTGTCCTCGTGGCGATATCCAAGGCTTCACCCCAAGGCACTCCGTGAGCCCATGCTGTTGCAGCTGCTTTCAAAGTGATCGACTCTCTCGCCCTGGCAACGTAGGCTTGGGCGTCCTTGCGGGTGTCCTTTCCACGGGTCAGCCTGAGAGGCCGATCAGAAGTCGCCCAATGAACAATAAACTAAACCCGGGCAAGAAGGTGGCCAGGGCCAGGTCTGCAAAATTGACACTTGGGTTCACTGACTTATGATCGTGGGGCTGCCTGATCCGATGGTCCGATGATCCAATGATCCGATGATCCGATGATTCCGATGGTCCAATGATCCGATGATCCGATGGTCCGATGATCCGATGATCCGATGATCCGATGGTCCGTTGATCCGATGATCCGATGGTTCGATGATCCGATGATCCGATGATCCGATGGTCCGATGGTTCGGTGATCCGATGATCCGATGATCCGATGGTCCGATGATCCGATGTGATCCGAAGGTTCGATGATCCGATGATCCGATGATCCGATGGTCCGATGGTTCGATGATCCGATGATCCGATGGTCCGATGGTTCGGTGATCCGATGATCCGATGACCCGATGGTCCGATGATCCGATGATCCGATGGTCCGATGATCCGATGATCCGATGGTCCGTTGATCCGATGATCCGATGATCCGATGGTCCGATGGTCCGATGGTCCGATGATCCGATGGTCCGATGGTTCGGTGATCCGATCATTCCGATGGTCCGATGATCCGATGATCCGATGGTCCGATGGTCCGATGATCCGATGGTCCGATGGTTCGGTGATCCGATGATTCCGATGGTCCGATGATCCGATGATCCGATGGTCCGATGGTTCGGTGATCCGATGATCCGATGATCCGATGGTCCGATGATCCGATGATCCGATGATCCGATGGTCCGATGATCCGATGATCCGATGGTCCGATGGTCCGATGGTTCGGTGATCCGATGATTCCGATGGTCCGATGATCCGATGGTCCGATGGTCCGATGATCCGATGGTCCGATGGTCCGATGGTTCGGTGATCCGATGATCCGATGGTCCGATAACAATCCGATAAGCCAAACCTGGTTGACGCTACAAAAAAACGAAAAGTTATTGCAAAAACAAAGCCTGGCAGCTTCAACTTGTTGGGGACAGGTTCAAATGAGCATGGCAGCAACGGCGAAGATTCAATTGCATGCCCCCGCAGGACTGAGCACCTCACATGGTCCAGTGGTTAACAATTGAGCTCAGTCCTGCTTGGAAAACATCCATCAAACATCTATTCCTCAAGTCACATCGTATTACGAATTGACTTTAGCGTGGAACCTTGATAAGCTTCTTGCGAGGCTCTACAAACACTTGCGCGTGCTCACATATGTTCCAATTGTTTCTTCTTTCAAGGACCCCGACTTCTTTTCAAACTTGGAAGTAGGGGGAACCAAGTCAAGAGACCGCAAAATATAAGGTTCCGTGAGGTCACCGTTTTTAAAAATAGAATGGCTTTGGGTCCGCGCGCGCGCGCGCGCGCCTCCGACGGCCGTTTTTAGAGCCCAAAAAGGCGCGCGCGCGCGCGGACCCAAGATCTTAATAGCGCAAAACAGTGTGACAGTCTCTCGGCCTCTTCTGGAGTTGTGGAAAAAAGAGGAAAAATCAAAAGGACTTCCCCTTCCCCTCGCTGACGGGCCCAGGGTCCACTAAGCCGCGAGTTTATTCACAAGGTCAAGCCACGCGGAAACATCAAGGAGCGGCTGCAAGACAAGCTGATCCAGCACCCAAGATTTCAAATGCTCCGCTGCTCTGTAAAGCTTGTACTGCTCCAAGGAAGGGATGAACTTGAGAATGTGATCCTTGTAGTCCGCTGGGATGGGATTGCGAGGCGCAATGGCATTTGGCAAACCCAGAGGCACCCTCACTTGCGCAACAGCCCGAGGCAAATGGACATGACAAGTCTCCCACTTTGGGGACGCCATATATTGCTTTGTCCGCACAATCACATCACCAGGCTGAGGCTGCAAGCTCCAGAACTCATCTTGTGGGCTGAAATCGGATCCTCGATTGAGAGAGCAGGGGCGGTTGCATTTTGTTGAAGCACTTTGTCCGAAATCTGGGCGGCCCCAACCCATGAATCTTGGTTAATAAGCTGGCAGCTTCGCGCGTTGAGAATTGAAATTTATTTGACTTTCCTTGGCAACGGGGGCCGCGATGCAACACACCGGTGTTCATCTAGACCCCTCACCAGGGGTTCAGATGAACACCGATTTCGGGATCTCTTGCATCACGGCACGTTCTCTGGCCGGCCAAGCAACGACAAAATGTGACGTGTGCGATTATCTCAAAACCAAGCAGCCCAAAGACTCGCGGCGGTCGAACTGGAAAACGTGTGGGGCACCTGGCCCTGCAATGCCACTCAGAGCGACCGGCACTGCTTCGCTAAGAAAGCCCTTCCTGCAGAGTGTCCGGCCCGAAAACAGGCCCAAACGAAAAGCAAACAAAGAAAACGAACTACAATGCGCAACAAATAAACAAATTGCAGCGCTTCCATCCAAAACTCCAATCACGCGATTGGTCCATCAGGACAACATGTCGACCCGGTTCGTAAGGTCGTTCCAAGCTAGTCTCCATCCACGTCCGGATGTGGGCCGCAAAGTCATCCGGCGTGACAGCGTGTTTGGCCTTCCGAACTAAATACCTGCATAAAACTCCGAAGATTTGGTCCAAATCCTCATGGCTGTGCCCGGTGCGCAGGCACCGGAGAGCACAATTGGCGATGACTCCTTGCGCTTGGCAAAAAGTTGATTTTCACATACAATCCACCGCAACACAAACAAAACAAGCAAAATAGAACGCGGTGAAACTTTACGCAATCAATACAAGAGCACGGTTGCTGACCATTGAGCTCATCCACTTCAACAACGTGTTATTCTTCATTTCACGTGTGGTGTTGTCGGCTTGTACCGACAAAGAAATTCCTGAAATATCACCGACTTCTCGTTGCACCAGAGTTAAGGCGTGCGAAATCAGTTCCGTCATCGTGGATGAATTTTTGGGGAAATTGTGCTTCGAGACCCCGAACAGAAGAAACCTCCCGTGGACCAGGATGGCCGTGATGTGGGCCCTCGGTCGGATCAAAGACGCCAACTCTTTCGATTGGTAGACCATGCCCCTGGGGTAGCAAAATTTTGCTTGATCACAGCTGTCAATCATCATCACCACGAGGGAGGTCCTTAAACGCGCCGATGATCTGAGGGTCCAGTATTCGACCCGATCCATATATTGGCTCTGCAAATGCTTGGAGTACAACTCGCGTTGCTTGGTCCGCGCACGAGCGTGCCCGCTCATCTCTTGTATCCACATCTTGTGTTTGAGGCATATAGCGCAAACCGCGTGTGATGAAGCTGCTCTAAACTTTAAGTTTGTGAACTCCGATTTCCACGTCCTCCAAAAGCTGCTGAAGCTTACTGGAGGGAGATCTGGTTCGGCTGCTTTCATCAGCTCATAATAATCCATCATAGTGCCAGGTGGCAGAAATCGCTCTTCAAGTTGGGAACGATCCGTGTTCACCTGGACTGATTTGTTCTTCAATCTCTGATGCTGTTTTCTGCCTTCCTTCTTGGAAGGAAGCTCTGTAGCTGGATTGGCTGCATTCAATGCGTCAACGTACGGATCTGCAACCACCTGAACATCTATCACCTTCATGTCCACGTCCACAATGTTGTCACGGACATCTGGAAGGGTCTCTGCCTGCCCATGGTAAACACTTTCCAAGAATGATACAATTCTTCCTCGAGCACAATCGCCATGGCGATCTTGCACGGGCTGACCCTTCTTCAAGTAACGTAGATCTACTGGTGGTACAATGCTACCATTTTCTGCAGCAGCTCGCAACTTGTCAAATCGAGCGTTCCCTGCCGTTGGGATTGAACCAGCCACTCAACAGGCCTACTAGTTGACACGAAAATGTATGGCTTGCAGAATCATTTTCAACTGCCACATCACCCCACGCATGGATTTCGTTTAGACCAACCCTGTCAAGACCCCCTCCCATTGGAAAACCAATTGCTCCGGCGCACCTACTCCGTGTAGTCGCTTCCAGGAGCGCAGGCAGACTTGAGTGCCCAGAATGATCCAGCTAGCGCATTCATCTCCTGCTCGTCCCAGCAATGTCTGGCGGATCCGGTCAAATACCTTGCAAAGCGATTGTTTCGCGGGGTGCTAAACACCGATTTCCAAGTCTCTTGTCGAAATCTATCGTGGGATTTCAGAGGGCGCCCTAAAGCAAATGCTCTCAAGGTTGGGGCTTGGTTTCCCCCAAAAAGTGCTTCTCCCAACAAAATCCTGAAGTTGTCGAACCCAAGGTACAGCCTGATCTTGGTCTAGCTTGTGCAAAGCCAGCCAGTCCCGCTTGAACTCAACTAAAGTTTCAAACTTCGCCGGTTCGCTAAATTTTTGCATGCAGTTGTGCCTGCATGACACGCATCGCTTCCCTAACAGCACTTTGAGCTGTGACTCCATGGTTTCCCGGGGAGGAGGGCCGTCAGTCTGCCGCTTTCGCTTCTTGCGCCACAAAGAAGGCAGCAGTTGGGCATCTTGGCCCTCACTTGGACATTCCTCGTCACTCAAGTCGATGACAGGCGGGATTGGCATCAAGAACAAGCAATGGAATTCATTCCAACACGTACATCCATTGCTGGAGCAATGAATCTGGCGGCACAGCAAATCTACAAAGATTGAAGAGAAATATTGAACAAAAGAAGAACAAGAAGGTAAGATTACCAGGTAAGATCACGTTCCAACTTTTCAATATAGTCCATAAACATGAACTATTGTTTGTTTGACAGCTTGAACCCAATAAGAACAATGGCTGCGCTCTGCAAGCTCAACAGAACCACAACTTCTTCCGACTCACTCTCACTCTCCCTCTCTCTCTCTCTCTGTGTCTGTCTCTCGTTCATATAAGGTGACTTTGCGAACTTACTTCTCTCCTCTTTGAAATTTCACGCATAAAAAGCTTGCTCGACGCTCGATCTGCGGAAGCCCCCGTTTCATGAAAAAATCGGATTGAATCACGCCTCCTCCAGAATTCAAAATCCGCCCACATCGCAAGCTCGGAACGCCGCTGTCCTGGTGTAGTTTTGCCCGGGGTTTGGTAGGCATAGTGGGAGCAAAACCTTACAAAGTTAGTTTCAAGACTTGTTGGGCGTAGAACGAATTGGGTAAAACTGAAGGTTGGCCGTCGATGAAGAAAGCCTGGCGCTCCTCGCAAAGCAGCAAGCAACGCCACTCATACTTCGACAACTTCGACGCCGTAGGCCTCAGCCCAGGGTTAACCCGGCGCTTTATATATATATATATATATAGATGTTTTTTAATTTACTTGGGCACACATCGTTGAACGAAACCAGAAACCTGACTATATCATCTCTGAACCGGCTTAGTCGACCACGCGCTGTCTTGATTTAAAAGAAATCAACTTGGCGCCCCGGCCCCCCCAAAATCTGTTGGAGGAGAAGGCTGAGTGGTGTGGAACTGGATAACAACGTCTACCCTCAAGCCAGCACGCACAACAACGCTTTGCCCCGGCCACAGTTTCTTCCCAAGGATAGAGACTTCGACGTCACATTGATGACGGCTGTAAGCTTGAACAGCATTGTGAAGCTCTACAAGTGTCTCCATGGTCACAGTAAATGGGACCCTCGCAGCTGCAAAGTCGAAGTTCACACTTAATTCAGGCCCGCTGTGACGCCTAAAGACACTTTTGGTGACCACCATTATTGGGCAAGTAGGTAGTTCTGGCCTGCCATCCACCAAAAGATACACCTCTCCACCAGCACGCTGGTCAGAGGAAGGCTGGGGAGACACGAAATGTATGTCGGTCAACTGGCTTTCTGACAGAAGCCATGGTGACAGAACCAGACGGGTTCTGCGGACAACTTCCTCAAGCTTTGAGATGTCCTCCAACTCAACATTGAGAAGTGCTCGGCCACGACTGAACTCATCTATGTAGAAGACCATGGTTGCAGGAACGTCTCCAGTCTCCCAAAACCCTACCCCCAAACACTCGACAAACTCATTGAATGACTCAAATCTGGTCGCCGTCGTTTGTGTAGCGTTGGGGTGCCACGGAGAGGCGTCGGCAGCAAAACTCATGTTGTTCACCACTTCGTTAACGAGCGACATGGTCAAACAAAGGAAAACCGGGCCCTAAACGAAGTAGTAAACAATTATCTGAACTTGGTCACTGAAGTCAAACAGGCTTCTTTTGCTGCTGTAGACACTAGCCCTTTTTTTCGAATATATAGTCCAAACCAAAACAGCTCCAGCGGTTCTTGATCCACGTTCGCCGCCAATGGTGGAAACTACAACGCGGTGGCAAAAAAGGCCGTGACCCCTCAGCAACCATTTTTGACAGCCTCGGATCTCTAACACGAAGGGCGATCCCTGGTAGTACTGTCAAAGGGGGTCACTCCGAATTTAGCAACCAGTTGAACCAATGAACTTTTGTCAAGTTGACAACCTTGGAAGAACAATACTCCTCTTGGAAGTACGTCAATCATCGAATCAAAAGGTTACTATAGGTTATGGTTGCTTGAACTGACCAAAGCAATCCTGAATTAGGAGCCACTCAGTGTTATCACACTGACTCCAAAAGCATCCACACATGATGTGGGCAGACAACACAGGCTTTGAGCAAAAACAGGAAATGGAACACCTTCGCAATAGGAGCAACAAACAAACGTTCCAAATCAAATTATATATGGTCATGGTGCTCAAGCAGCCTCCATCATTCTGACCAACTCGGACAGAGCACGCGCGCCCATTGCGGGGACGACGCAATTGCCCAAGGTTTGAAGCCGTTTCTTGTCCATGTCTGTTTGCTCCATTGACAGCCATGAACTGAAGTTCACCTTGTTTTGGTGGTTCCACCCGGCCTGCGGCAAGTCCAGGGACATCTTGACATTGTCAGAGAAGACCTCCTGCCGGCGGACATCAACCAACACTGACAAGGTACTCTAATGTTTGCACAACACTAAGCTGAAGCTACACCACCTTGTTGCTGACAACCAGACAACACAGTTCCTTGACCCCTTTGCGCATCGCCAGCAGGAAGACGCGGCATCTTCCGGCCTAGCAAACCAAGACATAAATACATATAGCAATGTTTTGCACACGTCCTTTGAATATCATCACGGTCCAGAAATCAACGACCAAGGCCAAGGCTTGGAAGCCACAGTTGCTCAGACTGAGGGTCACCCAGTACACCTGCATCTCTCGTTTGCGAAGTTCCTGCAGGGTGCTAGAACGCTGTCGAAATAGAAACTGACAAACTTCACAGAAGCCTGAAAATATGAATCCAATTCAGTGATTTTGGCATGTGAGAGCCTTTCAGGTCCTGTCAGGTTGAAAACCACACACGTCAAAACCATGGCCTGCACAATGAAGTGCATCAAGCGTCGACAGTTCTCCTCTGTGCTCAACAGGGCTGAGACGTTCTCCAGGAGCATCAAACGCCTGCTGCAGCAATCAACAATCAAAATTACAAACTGGTCTGAAAGGCTGCGACCCTTTAGGCATGGAGTCGAAGATCCTGAAGAGCTCCGCAACGAGGAACGAGCGTGGATCGTGGAGGCCCTGTTGATGGCCCGCCACCGACACGCCCTGAGGAAGCAACGGGTGAAAGTTACACAAACACGGCGCGATCACCGCTGAGAAGGAGGCTTGGCAAGGGAAGCCTCCAAGGAGAGCAGCAGCCCCCAGGGCTGCCTGAGAAGTTGGCTTGTAGTCACGCACGTCTTCCAAAATCTCACATCTTGGGAGGCTCCCTTCGGCTTGTCTCGCTTTGAGAACGGCCCTGCAAAACTCGTTGCGCTCGACCTGAAGAAAAAGACCCGCGTTCAAACCCACTGAATTTAAAGGTGACCTGTGACCCCGGCCATCTCCACCGTCCTAAACGCCCTGCAACAGAAATCAATTGCTGATTGAAGTCGATTGAATCCGTTCAAGCTTGATCATGAATCCTCGAGTGACCAACCCAATGAGAAGAATCGTGGAATGAATAGCATCACTGAAAAAGAAAACCAATGTTGATTTCCTTCTTCTCAGCGGCTCACAGCCACACGCTTTGGTTGGCGCTGGTCGGTGTCTATCCCGAAAGTGTCAGGTGTCATAGCTTTTTTCCCTCGAACCTCATGGCCGGGATCCGAAGAATCTACCTCTAGATTATATCTATTTTTCACCTGTGAATCTCCGAACATCGAAATATACTACATATATATATATATATATGTAACAAAAAATATATATATATATAGATAGATCAATATATGTTTACGGTTTAGGGTATGTATATATGTCTATATTCTTCAAAACAAAAAGAGACACACAACGCACAATAAATGATTGGAATAAAGCTCGGACTGTTGGGTCTGAGGCAAAGTCTGTCGGCTGGCTTTCAGCTGTTGACACCGGGAAATCACACTCCGAGCACTCCTCCCACCGAGATTGTTTCCAAACCCACCTCGATCCACAGAAAACATTATTGCAGTCGCAGTAGAAAACTATCGCTCTTCCTTGCGCAGATTGAAATGTCTATTTGTTATGTGAAAACAGCATCCACGGCCAAGCTACAGCGAGTCTTTCCAGCGGCACCACAAAACGGTACCACGCAAGACCCTCAGTGAGGTTCACGTCCAATGTGGATCTTGACCATCTCAATCTACTGCTAAGTTTTCATTTTACACGACATTGTTTGGAGACCGCTCACAACAATATATTCACAAACACAGCGCGGATGGAACCAAGCGGCTTGACTTGGTTTACGCCGACGGTCCGCACCGTAACCACGTCAGAGACAGACGACATGGCATGCGCCCTTTGGTTTTCAACCCTCTTAGCTCACTTACTGTCGTAAGCCTGGTTCGAATGGCTTCGGCTTTTTAAGAAGTTAAAAGCTTCAAGCCCCAAACTTGTGACTGCCACTGCATGACTTGAAATCAACAAGCCATCACCACGCCTCCGCATCCCCAATTCCAAGCCCCCAATCCCGGTGAAGCAGGAAATAGCCGGCAACGGGTCCTGCAGAACGCTGTTCTCAGTCCATGACTTAGATATAGCGGCTTTGCTCCTTGCCCTCGGGAAACATCTCCAAAAGGGTCTCTTTTTTGACCGTGTTCGGAAATGGCTCGGTCCACCCAAGTGGAAAACCTGCCAAGTGGAGTGATTTGGTGAGTGGCGCTACTCCAGTTGACAATTTTGCAAACAGCTCATCCATTGCAATTCACACTGCTTACAGCAAAGGCCTGACATCCACTCAGCAGTTGGTACCGATAAATACTTCCCAACAGGCTCACCCCTTTGCCGCTTCAAAGCAACATAGTCTTGGCTAAAAGCAATCTGGTTGGCAAGATCCTGGGCCGGACAGACTTGAGCATGTTGGAAACTGATTTCAAAACAATTGCAAAGCTAGCCTACTCAGCTCTGAGCAGAAATACCACGGGCCGAAACAGCAGTGCGTGTCACAGTCGTGGAAGCTGAAAAGCACCCTCAGCTTAAAAGGGATTGAACTGAAGGGGCCAAACTCCTCTGCTCAGTACAAGACGTATTGTGCTGTAGCGACGGAATATCTTGCTGCCGGTCCAGATCTACGT